ACAATATATACTTACATGACAATTGCAATGATGTAATACAGGATTTCGTACCATCGGTCAGGATACTACTCTAGGCAAGACATTGACCCGAGACCCGGCAATTGCCACAGCTGGTCAGCCAAGACCTGCAAAGCCTGAGGGCCCCGATACTGCCACAGAATATATCCCAGAACTTGACATCAGCGACACCCAAAACACCCCGATCACTTCTTAGTCCTGCAAGCAAACCCCGATCCGAGAGAGAAAACAGAAAGCCCAAAAAACAGTTCAATTGTGCATATGTATACTATTACTATGCTAATGTTATAACCAACAGAACAACAACCTGCCCTAAAGTCCTCAACCCGACAATGCTGTAATCCAAAATCAAATCAATTCCATGGGCCTGCTAGTATGTCAGGTAGGGAAACCGACAAGAGTGAATACTTGGAGGTTCATGGGCAGTTATAAGTGGAGTTAGACAGTATCGTAGGGTAAGTATAATTAATTATTAATTACAACCCATATGAGGGGACTTATAGCTCCACTTATATAACTACCCATGAACCTCCAAGTAACCCTAAACCCTGAGCCCTAAACCCTAAACCCTAATATAATACTAAACCCTAAACCCGCAGAGCCACGGTTTAGGGTTTAGGGTTTAGGGGTTTAGGGTTTTAGAACATGTAGACACTACAGAGGCACCCCTTCTAGCGGCTTCCAGGAACCTTTGCTGGCTTCGGACACAAGAAACTCCTGCAGCTCGTCGAGCTCAGCTTCAGTCCAGTTGCCAGGGGAGTCCTAGGATACAGGGATTTGTGGGGCATCAAGTTATAATTAAACAGCCTGAAAAACATATTGCGAACTGGCCGCTAACTCAGCATTGAGTATGCCCTCGAGAGTCAGCCCAGGTGGATGAGACACCTCGGATACAGTATATAGATGATCGTGTATCATACTTGCTATGATCCACATACCCTCTGCAGTTTGCCCTTTGCTGCTAAGAAGCCCTTTCTGTGTCTTGCAAGTGCAGGGTAGCGACAGCTTTCGCAAAGCCTTCTGGATAAGCTTGCGTCGCGGTGAGGTGTTTGGTCCCAGTTCTTAGTTGGTAGACAGATTGCCCGAGGCCAGACAGATACTCGATATGAGTGTAGGCCCCCCACACTGCAGTTGTCCCATCACTGCGCTTCTTCCTAACAACAACCTTCTTGGCTGCTGCTTGGTACTTTGAGCGGCTTTCTCGTGTCATCCGATTCTTCAGCTTCGTGATCCATCGCCTCATCCGTGCACAGAAAGCTTTTCAGGATTTCTGCAGGGGGGTTGAACCGGTCAATTGAGACCCTGGCGAGGAGCCGATGCAGTAGCTGGGCTTTGCATTGTCGTGACCATATAACCCCATCCAGCTTGGTTGACAACAGCAAGAAGACAGCTAAGCCCGGGCCTAGATTCGGATAGACTGCTAACATCATCACTCAAGTGTGCGATCCAAGGAACAAGCTGCAGTACTTCCACATCTCGCCGTTGCATGCCAGCAAGAGTTTTCGAAGGTGCAGGAAATACGGCACAAACTTCAGTGTGCTGGAAACCGGTTGCTCAATTGCAGACCAGACCCCACGACAAGTGATGAGGTAGAGGATGAGGCAGGCTCTCGATGTGATACAATTACTGCGGCGAACACCTTAGATAATGCACGTGGGGCCGAGGCACCACAAGGATCAAACAGCATCCACTCAGTACAGACTATTGGCAAGTTGCTGTCTTTGTTCACATCTCCCCACGGCCGTTCTGGCCCCCTTTGGTGGACACTGGAAGACATCCACACATGCATGTGGCAGGGGTTGGCAAGCCATAGTAGTCCTCCTGGCTCCAACCGAAGAGCCCGTTTGATGAGGCCCAAAAAGCCAGCAAGTGTTGTTAGATCTTGGCAAATCGGGTCATTCACCTTGTCGTAGGTGCTCCTGGGAAAAGGCACACATCGTGTAGGAAGGGTGACATTGTCGAATGCAACTAAGCTGCGCCCTGGCACCCTGAGCACCTGAGCCGGCAACACAATTAACTGGTCCCCATGCTCAGAGTACTTTGTATTGCATTTGCTATCACACACATGCAAACCTGTGCTAAGTTCTGAACGGAATGCTGCCCCGATGCGAGCAGAGCCACTGAAGCATTCGAGAACCGTGATATCCTCAAACACATGATCCAAATCTCAGGTAACTTCTGCTGCTACTGCATGCTGCCACTGTTCGGCACCGATAGCAGACTCCAGATGAGGCTGCAGCTCTGATGCAAGGGTCAAGCTGTGTGTGGGCAATGGTCGCAACATAATGGCAAGCTTGGAGCCTCAGGCACACGGGCCAATAAGATCAACATAGGGACCATTTAAATTTGGGTTTCGAGAGTGTCCTATTATACGGTCGCCACGATTAGAGGTAAAGGGGCCCAGGGTTGGTTTAGAGGGTTGTAGTTGGTTTCAGTGTCTAGGGTTTATATATATATATATGTGTAGTATATATATATATCTTTTGAGGTTTGCCGTGATGTAAGGTTCTGAAGCCCATCAGGTTTGGGAGCTACAGTGTAGCATCTAAGTAGCATAATCGCAGGAACTCCCATCGCCAGCAGCATGGCACATGCGTTCCCACTGAGTGAGAGGGGATGGACATCCATCCTTTCAACCTACTGTCAAACAGACCTAGCAACTTGTTCACCACAACATCCTCTAAGACTCTGCTTACGAACATATATATAGCTCCCTCATAAAGCTGACATCTGAACACGAATTCTTGAAGCTACTTCGCGACGACAAAAAATCGCACCCTGACTCATGAGATTGCAAAGCCAAAGCAAGGCGACCAGGTAAGGATAATACAAGGTTTCAGGTTGGGTTTTGCGATTGTGCGGTTTAGTGCTTCGGCGTCTAGCACTTTGCAGCTTTAGGCTTTCCGGATTTACAGGCTTTAATTTAGGGTTTTGGTGTTTAGGGTTTCGGGGTTCGGGGTTTTGATTTTGGTGTTGGAATATTGTAGAATGGATTGCAGGTTTGGGGTTGAGGGATCTAGGTTACTGCAGAGCCGGCACCTGTTCTGGAATGCCACTGATGTTCGTGAATTTTTGAAAGCCTCCTTCGAAGCTGCTGTGCCCCAAAAAGTTGAGCTTTGCCCAACTTAATTTAATCCTGCGACCTGCAGGGACCCTTGCAGGCGGTGCCGTGCTGAAGGTTCTTGTGCTATCTGGCATCACAAGCAGCACAAGAATTTTGCAGTAATCGATTAGCAAGCTCGGTGTTGTCAACAAAACCAAGCCAGCACAAACCCCAGCAGGTGGCTAGTTGCTCTTGCAAGCCTCTACAAAAGACACGATTCGGCCAGGGCTTGGAAGCTCGCGGGGCTCTGGCAACCAGCCTGCAATGATCTTCACAATCTTGAAGCCGAACTCGAACCCGTGTCTGTTCCAATTCACATTCGTGCCTTTCTTTTCGTTCACCTAGCACAAGGGAGCTTTGAGTACAAATTATGTATGATTGTGAAAATGATGTACTGTATCACGGAAGCAATTAATGGGTCGAGGCACTTGCATATCGAAGTGCTCACACACCAGAACAGCAAGAGGGGAAAGGGATGTCTTGCACACATAGAAATGGTTCTGGTGCGCAATCACCTGGATCTTGGAGCCACCACTCGCTGTCTCCGGGGGGGCCATGAGGTAGGACCTCGGTCACATAGCAGATGTATTTAGCAGCTGTTTAAACAGATCTGAGCAGGCAGCAGATATAATTATGCACTCCCAGACAAGAGTCTTCTGCTTCAGCTGACTGCTAGTTGGTCGCACCAACCCGAGCTTGAAGACTGGCTCGAGCTCGGCCATGATGCTCTCAATCGTACCCTCGGCTATCGACGCCCAAGAATATCTCGAAGGAACGAGGTGAGGGGTTAAGGTGTTCAACCGAGTCGCTGCAAGCTTCGCTTTCTTGGGCTCAGCTGCAGCTGCTTCGCTATCCCCAGCCGAGGCAGCCGGTTCCTCTGCCTTGCGCTTGTTGGCGCTCTTCGCCTTGGCCTTCCTTTTCGGGAGGGCCTTCGGCTCTTCATCCTGCTGCTTAGCCTGCTCCTTGGCTGCCTTGGCTTCTGCCCGGGCTTGCGCCTTGGCGGCACCTCAATGCGAAAGTTAATGCGTGACAGGGGCTCATGCAATGGTCCACATATTTTATTTTATAAGGGCTATTGTACCGAGAAGCTTTGCAGAGTCTTCTCTGCTTTCTGCTGACGTGCTTGGGCTTTCAGTGCTTTCTGTTGCAAGAACAATTGTAAATCGGCATCGACGCCGAGGTCGCTCAGCTGTGCACGGATTTGCTCAGGAAGCTGTACTGCTTCCTCAGCAAGTAGGGGTGCCGCATCCGGGTTCTCCGGCTCCTCGAAGCTTCGGACGGAGTTTGATTTTTTAAAGAAACCACCGAGCGATCATCATGCCCACACCTGCCTCTCTATCCACCTACTTGGAGGGTCGGGGGACTTAGTAACTAGTTATTCTAAATTGACTTATAAGTACCATAAGCCCAATTAGGATCGTACTTATAACTCTACGATTACCTACTTATTACTAAGTCCTCCGACCCTCCAAGTACCTAGCCACATATCTTATCGATTTATCTCTCTACCCGTATCATATCACCCATGTATAGCTAGGATTCGAAGGCCCGGCCCATGTTGACGGGTCCTGCTCATCCAGGCTGCCATCTGGCTCATCACCAGCAGCTGCCATTGGCTCTGGCACTGCATCTTTCACACCATCAGCATCAATCGTAGCCGTGGGCTTGGCACCGTCATCCGGAGCCTGTACATGGCTCTCACCGTTTATGCCACCAACAGCAGAAAAAGCTTCCCAACCCTAAACCCTAAACCCTTCTAAACTCTAAACCCTTGCACAACCTGTGACCTGAAAAGCCGAAAGCCGTTCACTGGACAGGCCTGGCCTGCAACCCGAGCTCGCCCCCAACCGAGGCTTCAAGCCCCGCTGCTTCATCCATCGGAGGCAGCTGGCTGTCCTGATCGTGGGCCGCTTATAAGCTTAATTAGCTTCAGGGTTTAGAGTGTATACAGCGAGGGTTCTAGCGAATTTCAAATTGGGGCGATAAGCTGCTTTAGTGGAAAGTCNNAATCTTGGGTTCGCTCATGATCAGATAGAACTGCAGTCCTCACAGGTGTCCATGGGATGAACTCCATCCGCGGGTGGTGCAGCCTTCAGCAGGAAACATGCACAGATCAGCTAGGGAAAATCCAAACGACTGAAGCCTTTACACCTGAGCTTGACAGTTGATTCTAGCCCAGCCTCATCCTCCTGCGCTTCATACTCGCCGACCTGCCCGGCCGAACATAATTGGCAAGCATGACATTCCCCACCCCCCCGCCCCCCGCTCATTATCCCACCTCCAGCTGCACAGGTCCTTCACGGAGCTCGTACATATCATCGTCGGCGCCAGCATCTGCAGCGGCGCCAGCATCTGCTGCCGGAGGGGCCTTGGACCACTTGGATAAGAATGACCGAGAGAGGTGAGAGATCTAGCGAGACAGACAGAGAGAGAGAGAGAGAGACAGAGACAGAGAGAGAGAGAGAGAGAGAGCAAGAAGAGGGAGAGCGAGCTAGGGATTAGGGTTTTGGCTGATTGTTGGAGTCTGGGTTCAAACTTTAAGGGGTTAGGGTTTTAGTGCCTCGTCTCTCGTTGGCATTGCCTGATCGATCTTGGCATCGTCGGGGCCATCTGCAGCAGGAAGGGCCTCGGACAAATCGGATCGAGAGAAGGGTAGACTTTTGCAGGGCCGAGGGCCTCCTCTCTTGTTGGCATCGTCTCATCTCCAGCCGGACAGGCCGCCCAAAAAATCATTTTATTGTACAAGAGCGAGTTGTATATTGTTATGAATGGGCAACTGCTCTCAAGCAGCCTCAAGGACGTAGGAATCATCGGCATCTGGGGCCTCACATCACATGCACGAGTTAAATGATCTGGAGAGAGAGTTACCCCTAACCCTGCCGAAAGAGAGACAGAGAGAGAGAGACACACTTCTTTAATGAAATTTAGGTGAGTGCCGAGCGCCTCAAACTCCACTGCCACATCCTCGCCGATATCGGCCTCGTCGGCGTCGTCGGCGTCGCCAGAAGCAGCCGGAGGCACGAACTCGGATCAAGTGGATGAGAGAATAGAGAGAGAGAGGACCAATCGTAACAATAACTCCTACCTCCATCCGTCGATTTCAGGGCAAGTGGCATCACTCTTGAATCCCGGCATAGCCATGATTATATTCTTCAAAGCCTGGATCTCCTCCGTCCTGATCGAACAAAGAATGTGCAGTGTACGTAAACTATATAATCAGCCCCAAGAATGCACAGGCACCTAGCAACAGGTGTTCGTCTTGTAAGGCGGATCACCAGGGCCACGAGAGATCGAAGCCGACCGCCCTGGATGCTGCACCAGTCCTCAAACGACTCCACAAATCAATTGATTGTTCGGTTCAGACATGTCGGGTCATCTTGCAAGCAAGACTCGTTGATATCCTTCTTGAGAATCTTCCGTTCTATGGTGCCTTCCTTTCGCACGGCCCCAAGAATCATAATTCCATGGGAATCATTCATCCTCTTGAAGGCGGCCTTAGCAAGACTCTACATACATACATCGAGACGCTCACAACCAAATATGGACAGGGCGGCCGAGATACCTGGAACTGCTTGGGAGTGGGCACGTTAAGGTCAAAGGTACACAGGATGTTCAACACCGGCACGAAGTGCATCCTGACCTGAAACCACATAATATTAATCACGACTGAAGCTAAAGTTCTCCCCGAAGCAAAATGCAGACTAGCAACGTCGCACTCATAGACAGAGCCGGCTGCGGCTGAGGTGGCGCTGATGCCAACAACATCTCCGCCCTGTGCGCGGGCATTGGAAAACAGATCGAGATGCAGGGCATATTCAAATTAGGGGTTTAGGGTTTAGGGTTTCGGGGTTTAGGGGTATGGTACACTGCCATCCCGGGGCCTCCTGTCGCAGTGTCGTCCAATCCGAGTGGCCGTAGACTTCATCTATGATGGAGAACAGCGTCGACACAACCTCACTCATTATAAAAATTAGTCGATAAATTACGGCCCCCATCACACAACAAGTGCTTCAAGCACACAGTTTGACGACAAGCTTCGTCGATCCTGTTGCCGGACATAGCTCCAGGCTCTGACTACGAGGCTCTGCAAAGGCTTCACGGCTGTGATGAGGTAAATGCCGCAATGCAATGCAACACTCGAATGAGCGAACAGCACTAAATGCCACAATGCAATGCAACAATCGAATGAGCGAACAGCACTGCAACTGCAACTGATCACAAAATGCTTGGGAGTGGGTGCACCATCAGCGGGTCCACAGCATTGCCGCTTCTGCTGCCGAAGCCGACCCAGAAGAAGAGCACTCTTCATTGCAGGGCAGCAACACGAATTACGAATTAGGGTATTAGGTGGCGGGCTAAGTATAGTAGGCGGTCAGGGTGTAGAGAGTCTTGGGAATTTGGTATTTTAGGGATGTTAGTTTGGGTCAAATGTATCGATTTCCACAGCAAGAGCCACACCTTCGAAGCAGAACATCATGAAATCTGCACCCGTCTATCGGCTATATTCACCCCTATTATAATTTTATATACTTTCATATACCCGGGTTTATGTTCTTGTTAACCCCCCCAAGACCTTAAAAATCATGGCATCAGAGGATAAC